CGAAAAACTTCCTCCTGATATCCAACCTCAACCTCCCCCGTCTCAGTTTAAAAGCATTCCCATGGTTCTGTCACCATCCACCCTCACAAACAGCCATTCCCCCTCCCGTTTATATGCTCCCTTCAAGTACTGGAAGGCCACAATGAGGTTTCCACACTGCAAACTTAAGTTGTCAAAACTGTTCTGTAGCACCCCTGAATAACTGGGTAGAAATACCTGTTTTACACAGGTGGGCACAAATTGCACTCCTTATCACAAGGCGTAACACCACCATCACACAACAGCAGCGTTACGAGAAGGCCACCGTTTACTCCTTATTGCAATTCTCAGTGAGTGACAAGAGCTCAGCCAACCCCTGCATCTCATCGTCAGTTTGACTTCACCATAAACCCCGAAGGGATGGTTAATCATTGACACCGTCTATCCGGCTCTTCACCTGGGCTATCCTCAGCGGTCACACCGAGGCAGCAGTTTCGCACACGGGATAAGCGCTGCCAGCTGAGCACCGGAGCCCGCGGGCAGCGCAGGCAGCGATGCTCCACGCGAGCGTTATCCCGGGAACAAAAGGATGCAGGGAGCAGCTGACACAGACGCCGGATATAGAGGAAAACAGCTCACGTCAGCGGTATCGACTCAGCCACTGAATAAACTCATTCCCAGCCGCGCTCCTCCCCCCGCCGTGCCGTATCCCCATCTTAGCTTCTGAATAAACTCAGTTCAACCACAGCACAAAGCCTCTCCGCTCCCCTCGGCTTCGCCCTGTTCAGCGCAGCCCCTCCGGCCCCACGTCGGCCCAGACCCCGACACCCCAAGCTGCTCGACTTCCCTCCCCTGCCCCCTCAGCCCAGACCCCCTTCCCTCAGCCCGCCCTGCCCGCCTCAGAGCCCGCTCCTCGCAGCCCCTCCGGACGCCGCCGATTGGCCCCCGGCGGCTCGCGCGGCCCCGCGCTCCGCCAATCGCAGCCCGGAGCGGGGGAAGGGGCTCCGGGCCCCGCCGCCGCCCCCCGCCTGCTCGCGCTCCGCTCCCGCACGCCGGCCGGAGCCGCACTCACTATTGAGGCCCGGCTCGGTTTGCGTTCCCTCAGCCGGCGGGTTGTTGTTGTTGTTGTGCTGCGGCGGCTCCTGAGGGCTGGACATGGCGGCGCAGGAGCGGCGGCCGAGGAGACAGAGAGCCGCTGGGGCTGGGACAACAACAACAAACCCGGACTCCGCTCCGGGCCCCGCCGCCCCGCCTCCTCGCTCTGCGCATGCGCGAGCCGCGCCGTTCCCACCCTCCGCCGCTGCGCACGCGCCGCCCGCCCCGGGGCGCGTGCCGCGCAGCATGGCGCCCGCTGTGCTTGCGCACGTCCCGCTGCCACCGCCCCGCGCATGCGCCGTTTCGCAATGGGAGCGCCGCGCCTGCGGACGAGCGCGCGTGGGGCCTGGGTGGGCGGGAAGAGCGCGAACCGTGAGGAGGGGGCAGAGCCTCAGGCACAGAGTGACTGGAAAACCGAGCCCCCACGGCGTCTGCGCCTCACTGATCCTTCGACAGAGAGAAGTGATCGCATTTCCCGCTATTCTAAGGCTTCCTGGATCCCGTTCCGCCATTCACAGCCCGACACGGTCGGCCTGCACCACTTCAGCTGCCCGGGGTCCGGCCGTGCCGCTTCCCATGAAGGAGGCAGTGCGTCCTCCTGCCCGCGCTCAGCTGCTGTGAGGGAAGCAGTCGAACCCGCGCAGCCAAAGCGTCGTTCTCCAAAACCTCTCCCCCAGCTCAGCCATCTTGATTTTGCCCCGAATAATTTAAAGCCAACGAAACTAGTAGGTCCACAAAACATGATTAGGTCTCCCAGTACTAATTAACTGAATTTTTAAGACTTTGGCCAAATAAACCTCTAAGACCTAGCCTAAGTCAGCAAAGTGCAGCAGTTTACTTAAATGGTGGCAGAGTTAAGAGAGAAGAGGGCACCCATGTAACAAAACCGGACTTGTTCTTAGCTATAAAAAGTGAAATTATTTGTCTGCACCCGTTTCCTCTCAGTATGAAAATGAGAAATATCCTCAGGCTACTCATGCACCTACTGCTGTACTGTGAACGAGAATAACACTGAATTTCCAGGGAAAATAGACCTGAAAATGCAATGAAATACTTCAAATGCGGTGAAATACAGGCGCCAACACGTACCTGACCTTGGTGAGGTTTCTTCAGTTACAACAAGAGTAGCTTCTGCATCAACCATGTATTCTAAGTAGCTAACATGAAATAGCCATATATAGAACATGAGGTTCTAAATCACCTGAGTTTTAAGATAACAGTCAATATCATCTTGAAGATCAAGCGTATAAATGCCTGAAGGCAGAGCCAGTTCCCACAGATACTTTGTATTGCAGATAGAACTTTTCTAGGATCATCCTGCTTCTAATCTCCTTTTTCATCGAGACTCTTGGAGAACGATCCAGCAAGAACAACTTCACCACAGACAATTTAACTTGCCTTCATTTCTCAATAAATCAGTTTCACTACCTTCATTCTGTGTGATACCACCTAAACTCCAAGGTCTGTTTGGAGGCCTGAAGTATCTCTGATGGAACTTTGTAACCAATCCCATCCCACACAAACACATCTGGCGTTTTGCCCCCTAAGAGCACTGATGGAGGCCTTCACACAAAGCCATTCCCATCAGCAGCCGTGGGGATATAAATAGGGGCAGGGGATCACTGTTGTGTGGTAGCACCACTGCGGCTATCAGAGACTGAAACAAATTCAGACAGACCCATCTGCATTAATGTTTCACCTCCTTGTTACTCAGCAAAAAAGATGACTTTTATCAGAATTTATCAGGGTTAGGGTGCGTACAACTGTCACAGTTATCCCATTCTAGATGATCATTAGCAAATATCTTTCTTCGTTTTCTCATCTACGCTGCGCTGGCTGAAATAGTGATGTGTGGACATTCTAAATCTGCTTTACGTGACACTGATCTTTCCTACCAATATGACTGTATATGCTTGCATGTCCACACCAAATGTCTGATCTTGTCAAAAATCTGGATGCCCCTCAGTTATCACTGGTACAGAATTTGCTATATGTTATGAAAAGACAGCAGCAATGTAGACATTCTAATAAAACATTCCTTCACAGGTAGAAGGGCCACAGATGTGTTCTAGGTTAGAATCAGAAAAACAAGGTACTTATGATGCTGAACAGAGCCCCATCCCACTCTGCAATCCTAACGCTCCCAGGCTAACATCAAGCATCATTTGTCATCTCCATCATCCAGGAAGCGTTTGCCATAATGCTCATGGCATGAATATTTATCAGCAAAGTGGGACTATTAACATTTCTGAGTCAGACAAATTAATCGAGATTACAGAGTGAGTCAATGCAGAGCCAGAAATAGCATTCAGAAGTCCTGACTTTCAAACCTGTTCCCTAACCACTACACAGGTTCCTTAAGGCAGCTGAATGACTTAATTCGTGCTTATAAAGTAATTGAATCCTCAGGTGGAAAATGCTATGACAGTAGCTAAGGCGGAGGGACAAAAAGCCACGCGATCATAGAAGAGGAACAGTGGCTGTAAACTTCTGGGGAAGGCCTTTTGTGCAAGAAAAAGGGTTTTCTTATAGAAAGCCAGTCAGTCAATTCAAGTCGAACACATAAGATGCTGCCTGATTATCTCACAAGAGCTGCCAAACTAATTGCAGTTTTACGCTCACGGCTCCAAGGCGTTTTTTGTCCACCCTCTTCTTCAGTAACATTTTGCCTCCTAGTGGAGGAGACCAATATAGAAGCACCCGCTTTTTCTTGTGAAAGAAAAATAGACGTATTGTTTGCAAAAGGCAGAGGTTGTTAGAATTCAAAGGTAGACCATACTGAAAATCCATGCTGCTTCTTGGCTCTGAGCTGCATCGCACTAGAAAGAAATGCCTGCTGTTTCTATTCCAGCCACTACCACGACTTCTACCGTTAAGTCCTTTCTCTACAAACCCAAACCTTCCGTACCAGGTTAAATAAGGCATTTGTTGTGAGCGAACAATAGAAACTATTCAAGACACCGGTAGTCATTAACAGCAACCTCGGTCCCAGCACACCTCTCCCCACCTCAACTCTCTACATCAACAGTTCAACTTGCAACTGCTAATTATGTGGGAAAGGGCAAAAGGAAACACCTCCTACTGCTCAGTCTAAGTCAGAAGTTATGGCGGGAATGCCAGAGATGAAGAAATGAAGACACGAAATCCAGCGCACAGGAAATTACTGCTTCCAGCTACGTCACCCCCATGACCGCCCAATTCCAGAGCAGTAACAACAGATCAGCCTTCCAACAGGCAGCAGCCTCTCCCCAGGAGGACAAAGCTGCGTTTCTGCTCATCAACATCAGCGTTTCCAAGGTAAGCTGAGAAAAAGATAAATATATTTAGATTTGGGACAACTGAGTGGAAGCTACAGCCCTGCCCCAACAGAACACTGAGCACAGAGTAGGATGCTGCCAACATGTTTGATGGCATTAGCTTCTCCTCACCAGGAAAGCAGCAAAGGGACTTCAGCCACAGAGCTTGACTGCACCTCAGCCCTGTACCAGTCAGATAACAACAGGCTGCATGTTATTTGCTGGTATCGCTGTGGTCTGAAGTATGGTTGCCATTCCGCAAATATTAACCACCTAAGTGGCAGCTGTAGGTAATCTGCTGCATCAAAGCCTTCGAGACAGACTCTAGGGAAGGGTTTGGTTCAGTATTTAAGGGCTGAGAACTGAACAGCTGCACTGGTTGTACTGGGAACTGAGGGAGAGCAGGAGAACGGAGCAGCTGCTTTCCTCCAAGTGTAATGGAGGAGGGCAGGACTGCCTTAACACCCACCCACCCCGTCTGGCAAGCTCTCCAGGCTAAGGCCCAGAAATAACACAGCACCTAGCAAGAGGGGCACTACTCAACATGCAGCAAGAAGGATGAGCAATTTCAAAAACCTGTAAGTAGAGAGAAGGGATGGGAAGAAAGATAAAAAGCAACCTGACAAGATGTATTCTATGCATACTTTTATTAATAAAATATAAGATTTACAGCATATGTCAATGGACAGTGTTTTAGAGAAGTATCTATTGGACAGCATGACACCAAAGTCAGTAGCTGGTTTTGTTGAGGATAGGTTAAACCTCAAGCGACAGGCCAGAGATCACCGCTACTGCTGAAAACAAGGATTTCCCAAGACTAGCCTTAAAACTCCTGAAACCACCAAGCACAGCTGAGGTCCAAGAGGCAGTTCTGCTTGAGTGTAGTATTGCTAGAAGGCTGCACTTCCATCTACGAGAAACTACGTGTTCAGTTCTGTCTTTGCATCCCCACTGCCGTCTGTGCAGCTTTTCATGTATTCAGTGCATCGCTCAGGATATACAGATACACAAGTAAAAGCAGCAATCTTGCTCTCGCAAACCTCGATATTCCCAAAATAACAATTAAACCTTTGCGAAAACGGAGATGAATTTTTACCAGCTCTGTTGCTGAAGTAGTGCCCGATTTCCTCTTTGCTCTCATAAGGTAATGAACAATGTTGGGCCTGATCCCGTGAAACACCTCTATGGACGACAACCAACAGGTTTCTTCAACTGCTAGCAAGTATTTTTCGCCCTCTGGAAAACAGCTGCTGTTCCTGGGGCAGTTACTCTTTGTGAAAAAGAAAAAAAACAAGGCTAACAGGTGAAATATGGTAAAATCCTTACAAAGGCTCATGGTCAGGCATGCATGTTACAAGACAAATACTGTATTTAAGAGAACCGGATCTAATATTACAATCTTTACATTTTCAAACCTCTGCACAAGGACTTAAAGTAAAGTATGGTTGCAAGTGCAGTCTTGTTAACAATCTCTAACTCAGCCATAATTTTACAGCAGAAACAGTATCTTAGTTGATCAAATAATAGAGGCGTTATCATAACCGTCTATAACTAAGCCTTAGAAATAAGTTAAATCTAGATAACTGAAACGTGAAAGTCCTCCAAGTCCAGGTGAGTTCACTACGACTTTAAGCTTCATTCTGAACGCCTCCCTGAAGGAAGAGCAAACCTAAAAGCACAATTAGCAAAAATATCCGGAGGTAAAAACTCATGAGCCTTATAAAGCATCAGTATCTAGTTCATCTTTGGATAAGCCTTATTTGCTGAAGAGTTTAAATCTCTCAAATAGCTATGAACACTTATTTCATGCAGCTTCTGTACTCCACGTATTTTCTCATCATTGCACCATTTCACATTTCTGTAAGTGCAATAACATTGCAAAGCCAAAAGCCAGAAGAAACACTTGCATGGTAAAACTACATTTCCACTCGGTTACTGATAGCAATAAAATACAGAAAATAGAGCATCTCAGAATGCAGTGTAGTAGTTACCTATGTCATCACTTGTTATTTTGAGCTACATAACATCATACTGCTAGACAAGAATTCAAACAACTCGTTAAAAAACCACAGGGGACTTTGTACTCTAAACAAGGCAGTGAAGGTATCGTATCCTAAAACGAGGCATTAAAGAAACCAGGGCGAAACGAAGCATCAGAAGTGAGTCCCGTAGTGTAGATCTTAAACCTGCAAATTCTGCTCCTGTTCCAGCTTCAGCAATAGTTTCAGAAAAAAGAGCTCTTAAGGATACCGGAACAGCCCTGGTCTGCTCAGACAACGGCAAAATCCGACAGGAGCTCATGACTTTGAAATGAAAGTGGGCGACATCCTAAGGCTGGTATTATTGTCATTCATGAATGAATGCAGATACTTGTGAAATCCCTCCCTCTCTTCATTCCCATTAAAAATAATTAATACTGGTTAAAATCATTACAAAAAACATCATTTATTTTCATGCATCTAAGGTAAAACACAGAGTATTTGTATAAAGAGGTAGATTAAAAAAAGAAAACAGATTCTCCATTCTTTGTCACTTTTATTCAGTAGTTTTTTTTTTCTCCTTATTTTCTCTCTTTTTCTTGGTGCCAGACACGGCAAGGAGTGATTACAGTCAACTGTTCATTAAAACATTTGTTGCAACACAGACCCCCTTTACCACTGACCCCAAACGGACCCATCTCATGTGCTTTATTTGTGTTTTTTGTTTCTTTTCCTCTATACACCACCACCAGGGCGAGGTGGAGGGGGATGAAAGGGAAAGGGGGAGTCCAGGAAGCCAGAAGGAGGAATGCTACAAGCCACAGCAAGAATGAGCTGTATTTAATAAAAAAAAAGGGGCCACAAATGATACAGTAATGAGGTTACACAATTAAATCCCATAGCATGATTGAAGGCTTTCCCTGTGTTTGACGTCATCACAATGGAAGGCATAAAAAGTGGAGTAAACCGATGTTGATACAGTCCAATCTAGTCCATTAGGCAAGATGGTGCAAGTAGTCATTTAAATTAAAAAGTGCCCTATCCTCACCTAAATGGCTAGCAGACATGGAGAGCTCCGTGACACGTCAGCAGAGCTTTCTCCATGTAGCTATAAAAGTGTGTTGTCATATGGCACATTTTAAACACTGGAAAGGGGTGCCATAATGGACCTCTCATTCTCTTTCGTTTACAGGTACAAATGCTAGATTCAACTATTTCAACTATGCAGGAAGTGGACTCTTCAGTTAGGAATGCCAACCCTAATTCATTTTGTCTTGAAATATATACAAGTTGTTTGTAGTAGCTACAGCAATGATGTTTTCCTTGGGATGCCAGGCCGTGTGTAGAATCTTCTTGTTGAAGTCTAAGCTGTCAACACTGATTTCATCCTTCTTTCTCTTACCGCTCGCACACACTTTGCGTGGCTTCAGAACCGTGCGGGGTTTGTTGTTCTCCCGAGACGCCTCCAAGGTGACGTCGCGTTTCGTGTTTCTGTCAAACATCCTGAAGAAGTTGTTGTAAGATCCTGTCATGACGATGCTGCAGAGAAGGTGGGGGAAAGGAGGAAAAGTTCAACTGAAAATCATCCCAACTCTACACCTGTTTAACGAAGGCAATTCCAACAATCCAGTGCTACGGGATCAGCTGATTAACAGCTAACACACGTATCTTAGAGTCCATTCATCTCAAACTCATCTCAGGCTTCAGGCTGTCTGCTTGTTTCGATAACAACCTGGAAAAGCCTGGCATACAGAGAAGCATCCAACTTACCTGTCTGATCCGTTCCAGCAGCATTCAAATTTGTCAAAAATGCAATCGTTTTCATACAGTGAACAAAGTTTACTTCTGAGGTATTCATGCACCTGGGAAAGAGTTGAAACAGTTAATATTGAGCATGACAAACCTGTAAAATAACCTCTGGAACAGCGTCTGGCAAACCTGGCTGCTTCCCAGAAGCCCTGTTTTGGTGACCCATCACCTCCCTGCGGATGATGAAAGGAGCCCTTCAACAGTTTTTCTTATAAAACAGCTTGGAAATTCAGCAAGTGCCAGTGCTAGCGGGAAACGTTTCCTACAAAGCAAAGGTTTTACCTCCATGTCCTCAGGAGGTAACAGGACACTGCGAAATCAACTGAAGACTAAAAGAGACGAGCTATCTCACAGCTGGACATTTCCCTTCCTGCACTGCCACTGTGTAAGAGGGAGACTTTCACACCAACACACAGTGTGAGGTCCTGCCATCAGCCTGCAAACAGCAAAGTCCTTAAAGCACGTGTGGCACCCACTCACCTCACAGATGCTGCCTGTCCAGTCACTTACAGACACAGCTAACAGCTGCATCAGGACTAGCAGTAACACCATCAACGTCCATCAGTGTTTCAACCAAATACCTGGTATGTTTCCACAGGTCTGTTCTCCATATTTAAATCCCAGATCTTCACCGACAGATAATCTCTAGTCATCATGTAACGACCACTATGGCTAAATTTGACATCAGATATGGAAGAGATGATTTCAGAGAAAAACGATCTGTTGCTGGGATCTTCTGGTTCTTCAAACACTGCAAGGAAATAAAGCAGGCATTTCAAGAGCTAAGCTTCTACCTCTCCCAACAGAAATACACCCAGCTAGGTGTGGGGCTGTTTTTTAAGCACGAGACGCTCGCCATGTTGTATTTTAACACGGTTCACTGTTTAACAGTTTAATGCATGCTTACTGAGTGCTTACTTTCATCTAGCAGCAAGATACCACAGCCCACAAGCGATAAACACTGCAGGCCAGAACTTACACTTCGAATGCCTGTCACAGAGGGCAGATGCTCTCATGTCACAGAGACGAATCGTTCCTTTACTGCTGCTGTATACAAACGTATTACAGCTGTTTGGGTGGAACTCCGCAGCTGTTATCACCTCTGTCAGCTCTTCCATGTTGGCAGGCTTAATATCTACAATATCTAAACCATTTTGTTAAGGAATTTCCTCCAGTTTCCACAACGTATTTTTCAGTTTAAAGGTATTCAACAATTCATCAAAACACATCTGAAACAGCCAAGCAGAATTAAAACAAGCCAACAAAAATACAAAAGGAAGACTGTGCTTCAAGTCTGGAAGCAGAGCAACTCTTTGGAGCCAAAGCCATGCTACACAAACACGTCTCATGAAATAAAAGCCTTTTTTTATACATACGCCATACAAAACAATGCAAAAAAGATACTAAAACTTCTGTCTGTAATTTCTAGGTGCCACAAATTAATCCGCAGGTCATCTGCAGATAGGTACGTTTCATAGTCACTATTAATGGAGATGGAATTGATGTGATACGTGTGAGCATTGGCAAATATTCTTCGTGGACTAGCTTCAACCATGAGGTCCATGGGCCTGAATACTGGCACCTGCAAAACACACAGCAGTGCAAGTTCAAATGCAGATGCACTGCAGCAGCAGCACAGCCCTTCAGTGCCCCGAAGCTCGCTACAATATCTAAGTAACTGCGCCTGCAGAACAGCAGGCACAGAAACAGAGCTCCAGCAGAGACACCCAGAGCCGCACAGAGAAGCGGCGCCCACGAGCTCAGGAAAGGCGAGCTCTCCAACGCGCGCCCACCGCCCACAGGGGGAAACGGCGACGGCCAACCCGTGCAGGACAGCACTCACCCGTAGTGTTGTGACTGTAGTAGGATCCCTGTACCGCCCATCTTCCTCCTTCAGGTTGTAGCCCTCTGGTCTCTTGTCCCTTTCACTGATTTTCCATAACTTTATTGTTTTATCTGAAATTAAAGAGCCACGGCTGCGAATCAAAGCTCAGTAATGACGTCAGCCTTCACAGCTGATGCTCTTTAACACAAAGCCTTCAAACAAGACCAAAAGGACAGAACTACTTGGAGATAAGGAATTTAGATATAAATTTTGCTTCGTCTCAAAATTACACAAAGAAAAAAAGACAGGATAAGCAGCATTAAAAAGACCTCCTCCACAGTTTGTTCTTTTCAGAAAGTTAGAGCAAGTTTTTTTTGATTGCTACAGGTGACAAACGAAGTACTCCCACAGTTCCACACACCCCAACAGCCAGCCCATGCAACAACAGGTCATGCAGGATTAATATTAAGCCATCACTTACCGTTTGTAGACAATAAAAATTGAGCAGCATTTTTCTGGGGTAACCACCTAATTTTGTTGATCTTCTCTTCAATTTCTAAACTTTTCAAGTAGTCAAACTCTGGTTCATGGCTTTGAAAGGTACTGTAAACATTGTATTCTCCCCTACTGTGAGACTGGGTTTTGTTCTAAAAAGAGAATTAAACGATCAAGATAGGTATGCAACATACAGAATGCTTCGCAAGGCTGCAGAGAGAAGCCAGAACTCGATATTTATGCAGCAATATTCACAATTAGCACCCTGCTAATTAACACAAGGCTGGATGAGATTTCTACACTCCGCCGCTGCCCGCGTCAGATTTGCTGCAAGGATCCTTCGGTGTAAAGTTCACCTCATTTTAACAAGCCTGCAGATCAGACTGAAGAAGGATCATCTCTACTGCAAGAGCGTCGGTTTTCATCAGATCAGAGACAAGAGCTCCATCGCCCCTCATCGTCAGTTTTCCCACCTTCAGTTTGGGGAGGACATTTCCTCACGAGAAACACAGCCGCCTGGACAGCAAATCCACCAGCTTGTTTGGCACCATTCCCACATCTCACCTCCACAAGCAGCTCTGCTACTCTGCTGAATGATGTCCACATTCCCTGAAGTTTTCAACTGTTTTAAGAAGTTTTTCCTCCCTCCTCATTCTGAAGGAAAAAACCAAAACCTCTCTCACGAATCCATCTTTGCTAATCCGAGTCACAGCTGCAGCCGGCCTTTAAGGACGGTGGGACTCCTTGGAGCACTGAGAAGTCTCCGAACTCGTAGAAATTCCTCACCTTTCTACAAGCTGCATTTCGGACAGGGGCCTTCTAGCTCTAACACTGCACTGCAGGAGTGGAACCTCACGTTTCCTCCAGTGGTTGACAGAACTGGAATCCTTCCTGTTCCACCCCTTTCAAGAGGCTGCACCATCAGATGCCTTTCCTGTGAGATGTTCTTGGCTGCAGACTTCAATTCCCCTGTGTACCTCATGTCCATCCATTCATTTAATCCCTTGACATGTCACTACATAAGATCCCAGCTAGGCCACATTTGTCGTATTCCCTGCAGTGTTTTTTGCCTCACAGCCCTACCTAAAATGGTTGGCAGGAATTCTTAATTTTTTTCCAGTATGCTCATGGGGGGGGGAGAAAGAAAAAATGGCAAAAATGCCTTGGAAGTGGACTTGGCATGAGAATATTGTACCACACCTCTCAGTTACACCGGCCGTCCCACCCCAGAGAACAGAAGAAACTTTGTTCCAAGTTCCAGTTACACCTAACAAACGAAGCAGGGTCGCTGCATTCAATGGCAACTTCTGAAGTCAACCTACTGAGCGTCAGGAAGCGCAGGCCTCGACTCAGCGACCTTCTCTTCCATTCCACACTCACCACACTGATCCACCCTTGGACACACCTGTGTTAAAACTACAGGGCTAGAATACGTAGAATCAGCAATGCGTGAAATCCACCCTTGGGATTTAGAAGCAAGATTGAAACCAACTGATCGTCTCATGGCACTCTTAAAACCAAAACAAGGTGTTGGCCCAAGTGCCTGATGTGAAATTCCAATTTTGGCAATTGCAGGCTGCCTACGCAGATTCCGCCTTCAGTTTCAATCAGATACAGCATTCATTTCCTCTGAGTTATGTAAAGTCACTTGCTTCACTACGCAGAAGGGCTGCCACATTCCAGCCCACAGATGGCAGCAGCTCAGCAGTGGGCGAAGTTGCACAAGGCTGGGAAACTCAAGAGCTCCTGCTTTCAGAGGCTGCCTTCCCGTATGCATGGTTTGTGATGCAGCCTGGTGAGAGCTGGTACTTCAGTCCAACCAAAAGACCTAAAGCCAGCCTTGTAGGCAGTCTTGGATACAACTTGCCCTGCCAGTTAGCTGCTTCAGCCTTCACGTACTTTCAAGTAAAAGAATCTGTGAAGTACACGAGCAAGCTAAAACCCCAAGAGTTTGTGCCTGCCTACAAAGCACACAATAAGGAAACCAGGTCTGTATTCATCACGAGCTCTGGCCAAAGTTTAGAGAGGTCAGTCAGCCAGGAGCACCCCACTAGATGGCACCAACTGACCAGAGAGATTCATCCAGTCACTGCACTCCAGCTGCCCGCGTACCTGCAGCAGAAAGCAACTCGCTGGGGAACTGCGGTTTAAACTGCAACTGCATGGAGCGATGAAAGCAGCAGCAGCACGACCTTCCCAGGCAGCCAGATGGCAGAGCGCCTTGCTCCGAGTCCTTCTTCTCTTTCCCTTCAGTAAATTCTCATCAGGTTGACTTCCAACTACAGACTTCAAATCAAATGCTTCATCTCAGCTTTCCCACTTTCAAGGTAAGAGTGGGGACCCTTCCAGGCATCACAGGAGTTGTCACCAGAACTCCAAAAGACCAACGGAACAAGCATCAAATGGAAACAAACCCGCACTTCCGCAGTGCGGAGCAGTTCGGTTACGGCTCCCTGTACTGAGAGAGCTTTTGTTGGTTTTGTGTTGGGGTGTTGGTTGGTTTCTTTGTTCTCAATTCTCCTTAAAATGTCATCTCTCACATACAAGACATAACTAAGTGGATTCCATTTTTAGCCGGTTTTTCATCTCTGATTTTAGTATTAGCTCAGCTACGCGCTGCATAAACTTGCCAACACAAGATGTGGCTTCAAGCCTGCATCCTAGCATTTCCACACAAAAACAATAAGTAGAGGAAAAATATTTAGTCATCTCCCTTGATAAAAGCAGATTGCTTTGCCAGGTAGATTAATAACAAACCTTATTATTGCTCATATGCAAATACCGACTGCTTATTTGAACATGGTACACTAACTTCCAGTATTAGAGAGATGCCAGAGATTTACTGAGCTGTTTTCTCTGCAAATCAGATAATAACAAATAGATTTTGCAGTATTTGCTGAGAAATAGAAGCAAGTCTGTGCTGGACACTGCTTTCTGACTCAGGTCTCAGAGAAACAGAGTGCTTGTGCAGAAACATCTGAAAGCTGCTTAAGCACACGTGTAAAGAAACAAGCTCACATCCTAAAAGAAGAGATGGAGGAATTCTGTACCTGACGCAGAGATGGGATGCATCAGAGAAAGCATAGCTCACAGTGGGACAAAAAGCTGCAGTCAGTATTTTTACAGCATCAAACCAGAAGTAAACGCATTGAGTGCAGCAACCCATGCTGTTTATTTTCAGAAAGAATGCAGACCCACCCACAAAAACCTTCTGAGGGGAAAACATCTGGTAAGTACCGGCGTTTATAAGATCAACTAGGAGTCAAACTAAAGTCTGCTTTCCTTCCACGCTTCCCATGGCTGCACTTTAAGTCATACCCTGAACGTTCTGCATAAAAGAGAGCAGCTGGTCAGTTCAGCAGCTAACTTCAGATGTGAACAAAATTACTGCAGACACGGGAAAAATACCTCCAGTTCCACAGCAGCACGAGGGATGCAGCAAACAGTTTAAAGGAGAATTCCCTCTGGCACTAAGACTTGCATGAGATACACTTTAACTGGCACGAAATCCTAGATCTCGGTAAGAAATGAGTGTTGACAGAACCTTCAACTATTTTACCTGACTGATATCAAAACAGAAAAGGATGTCTTAGGTCACAGCTACAAATACATTTAAGGGCAACTTTTATTTCCCCAACTACAGTGAAATCTGAAATAACAACCACAGCCAAGCAGGGCACTGTAAGGCGACAAATTTCAGCCTCCCCAGGGTCTTCGCGCATCCTCCCTTCCTTTTAAACCACGTCTGAACTACAGCTGAAGGCCACAATCCTAAAATTCAACTCGTTGCTAACGCTGTCACAGCTTTCAGTAATTAAATTCCATTATCTTCTCATCATTTATTACACAAACACTGCCCACGGAGCACGCTGTAACAGCACACACCTTTCCTTTAAAAAGAGCAAATGGAAACAGAGGTAAACGTTACATCTGCTTTAACTGAGCACTCACCTCCTGCTCCTGTTGAAAGATGACGACTCGCCCTCCTTTGTCTCCTGTTGCTAACAGCTCTCCAGAATGGTTAAATTCTACCGTAGAAATTATATCCGCTGCGTAGGGAAAACAAAGGCACAGGTTAATCGTGCCTCTGCGCACCAAACGGCGAAGAAAGCTGTGACTGTAGGTAAAAAACAACAGCAGCCCACGTGAATAAAGCAACTGAAGTATGAAATACAACGAGGAGCTCCTCAAAACACACAGAAGCTATTTGGAGAGGTTCTGCATTCGAAACCAGATCAGTGAGAGTTTAGGATTTACGCAGTTACTTCTCAGAGCTGCTTTTCTGTTAGGAAAGTAATGTAAGCATAGAAACAGATTTTCAGTACGCTGCAACACCAGTGAGAACCTGTGGCAATGCCTGCATTGCTACATCTCCTCCACGCCCACCAAGGGACACAAGCAGCACCCATCGGACCGCCCAGCTGCCTTTGACGGAGCACTGCACACTTCAGAGAGCCCAGGGAAAAGCTGCCAGGTGGGGGCAGCCGGAGCTGGGCACGTAAGGAACACAAGGATGAGGGACAAACTGCCAGAGCGGGATCCAAGTTGAACACGATGACTCAAAAACCCGAATACCTCTTCTGGATGAGCAAGCTCCACATTACCACCTATTTTTACGTAGAGTGCTAAAATTAAATGGCAGATATACATGGACAAAAGTGGTATCTAACATTGAGTTCATCTGTTTGTGAAGCAGGAAGACTGAAGGGTTAAGGACAACCTTCCAGCTCAAGCACAACTCCAGCTCTCAAACACCCCACAGTACTTTCCAGTGCTAGAACCAGAACCCAGGCCATCTTTTGAACAACATCAGACTGCCGTTGCACTGCATTAAACTACTTAAATCCAGCTTTCTGCAGAAGGAGGTACCCCAGGCTTTTCACACGTGCGATTCAGGCTGCTGCACATCCATGCCAGTCCATGGCAGACGAGCAATGTCCATCTTCCCTACTGGTCAGTTTCTTCATTCCGTGTCTTAGAGTTAAAAAATCTGCTCTACAAACTGCAAGCTGCTGCTAAACATCAGCTCACAGCTCTTAAGGCAGCACGTTGAGGAAGTGAAACACGTAAGATTTTCCTCTTATTTAATAACAAAATGAAACTTACATCATTCTCCAGCTGCCTTAAGCACACGGGCGGTGGCCTCTGAGGACATCAGCAACCTGCTCTTTAGTAACTGCATTACACAGCAGCTCCAAGCACCCTGCGTATCTGGGAGCTGCACAACAAACAGCCCAGACAAGCAGGCCAAACCCCGCTGCAAAATCCTCCAAGGTAAAAGATGCAGAGTCAGAAGCTTGGCACGAAGCTCAGCTGTGTTTGCTAACACACAGCAGCATGCCACATCACAAAGCACCAACAGGAGCCTGTCTTCACTGCCAGTTGTGTGGCACTGCAAAAGCAAACAGGCTGAACTTTCTCAAGAGCACTGTGTTAAGAACACAGATGTGACACAAACCTGTGTGCAGGTAAACTGAGACCCACATCACTCACGGTGTAAAACCTTGACCTGAGCGCACTTGTTTTCTGCCTACTGCATTCATTCACATACTTGTGAACAAGAAGTGCTTTCTCATGTCTGTAGGACTTCAGACTGCACAGCACTTAAATGAAGACGTGCCATTCAGCATCTTCCTTTCACATCTGGACAGCATGCAGAAAAATGCAAACCAACCAAACTTTGACTGTACCACACAATGCAGACCTTGACAGGAGGAGACCCCACGGGAATCAGTTACAGAAAAATAACTCCTCTTAATACAGGAGTCTACAAACAATGACCATTCTGGAAAGCGTTCAGAAACAACACCGCCAGTCTTCAAACTGATAACCCAGCACTTTATCATCAGATTTAAGCATGCACACGGAAAGAGAACAAAAATTATCTTTGAAATCCAGCATACACATCTAAGAACACATTAACCAGTTCTCTTTTGATGCAACTTACCAGGAAGTTTTGTAAGGTCAAAAGCCTGAAGTTTGAAAGCCTTACAATCTATAGCAAGAACAGCCTGAAAGTTTACATGCACCTTTTGCATTTATTTTAAGATCATCCCAGCCTGAGATCAGCAATCTGCAAGTCGACGCAACTCCTGCTGTCTGTTCCTCTGCTCATGAACCTCCAGCAGCAAACTTGCAATGCTTGCATCCCCTGCCCTCCAAAAGCAGGCGTGACGTGACTCCCGCGATCAGTTCTATGCAGAAGATATTTGCAAGCACGTGGACCAAACATAGTATTTAATTCAGAAAAAATGCATTCCTTTTATCAGCAATTGCAAGAGGAAAAGTAATTTTCTAAGCTCAAGATACATCTACAGAATTCTGTGTGCCTTTACTGCAAGCTTGGGCTGCTCCAAGGACACAGCAAACGTGCTAAGGAAGGAGGCAGAAGGTGCCTCACGGCAGCCCCAAGCAGGGCTCAGATGCACATTAATCCAAAGTCAGCGCTGAAGAGCAAAGCGACCAACCATGCATTTTAAATCCAATAACTCACCGTTACGACTATCGTATTGCCATACCTTGCTCAAAGACAGAGACAGACATCAAGGCACTGGTGTTGAACTGGGTGGATTTAAGAGTGTTTGAGAACTGACAGGGGAAGCATTTCATCTTCCGCAGCGCACCGATTCGCCTGTGTATTTTCATCTGTATTAACACCCTCGCTGCCAGATAAAATCGATGTCATCCCCTGCTTTGCAAACAGTAACTGTAATTCCCGTGGCAGTTACGTGTGGGGCTGCTTTAAGTCTTTCGATGCTGCACCGGGCAGAGCACGAACAGATCCCCGCCTGCTCCCTGCTGCGACGCTGTTTTTGTTGCTGTCTCTAGGTGGGAGTCGTGCAAACACAGAGCGCTGCTCTCACACCATCCCCACACCAACAGCTCCAAGGGGAAACAGCCGAGGGCGCAGCAGCATCGGCGCCCTGCACTAACACCAATGGCTTTTGGAAATAGATGCGTTCCATGTTTACTGCTGATGTCACCTGAACGCCCTCCCTTCAAACACCAGACTGTCAAAGAGAAGAAACCACTGAACCCTTATCTGATAACCACATCCCACAGCTCCTCAGCACGCTATGCTACGAGACTTCCACAGAGTTACCAGCACACACGCAGTACCCAAAGCCCGAGGGGTGCTTCTCCTCCCCCCAGGCATCCTAAGACATCTCTGACACCAGGATGAAGGATGACAATTTCAACTGCTGCAATTTTGGAATGCTACAGCACAGCATCAAGCACACGGATGAAGACACCTCTCTAACAAGACCAAGAAGCAGGACAGAAGTACCTTCGCTCCACAGCGCTCCTCCAAACCTGCACTGAGTTTATTGGCTTGCGTAACGCGGGACAGACAGCTCAGGGCTCATAACTGCATCAGCGCATGGATGAACACAGCTCTCACTGGCCCCACTTCACACTCTCAATACCACTGCAGAGCATTAAATACTTCAAAATAATGGCTTTCATTCACATGAAAGCAAAGGAAGAATACACACAGCCCAAAGTCCATTTACTACTGCCATGGCACATACACTGCCAATAGAAAAGGCTGTGCAGTGCTGACTGAAATGCTACAAACCCCACATAGAACCACTGTGCAGGTCAATTCCTGCCTCCAAGAAGCAAACCACACTACTGCCAAACTCAGCCAGCAAGCTTAAGCATGCTACAGAAGTGCAAGAAGGCTCCTGGTCCATCATCTAGCATCACACAGCGGCAGGACAGAGTCTGCTTTCTCAGGAGTGCTCAAAGCCTGATGTTTTTCCCTGATGCAGCACCTACAAGCTGATTTCCTGCAGCTGCTTCCAAAGTTACTTTTCTTCCGCACATCACCTTTATTTTTACAGCCAGCTCTAAGCTTTTTATGGATGGCATCATCTTCACTTGAAGTGTTCCAATAAAACTGTAAGAACCACCAGGCGCAGACAACACTTCTTGTCTCAGGAGGAGCAGCTTCATGGGTTTTCCTTCAGAGATGTGGAGACAAGAACCTGAAGCTCTCCAGCTTGCCTGGAACCAAAGGAGCCTGAACAAGGTGTTCATGGGAGAAGCAGAGAAGACATTCATCTCCAAGTTCTAGTAATGGTTAAACTAAGTGTTCACAACTCACTGTGCCAAAGGGAGCCATGCCAGAAGCCCCCAAGCAGCTCTTACCAGCAGCAGACACCTCTTGCTATGTTATTCTTGAGAAGAAAACAGCCAAAATACCAGCCTGATTTGTTCCCCAGGGGATGACAGCAATTGTGAGTTCAGAATTTTTACTCAATATTCGTTACACCAACTCCTGCTATTTTGGGCAGCTCACCTTACAAGAAAATGACAGGAATGAATGCCTAGTGCTGTAACACGTGAATTCGGAGGCAGCTGCAGGACACTGTGGTTGGGTAAACACAAGCAGATAAAGAGGCCCAAAAACTGACTAAAATAAGGCCAACATGGGACAAGAACAGAACTGAAATCCTGCACAGCATCAAAAGGTGGGAGCCAAGGCTGCCTTCATCTCAAGCCAGAAAGTCCTCTTGTTTAAAAAATGCTTTCAAGTGGGACCAACTTTGTGCCATTACCAAGGCACAGCATCCTCCAACTCTTAAGAAACGCCCCCTTTCAGAACTGTTTTGTTACCTTACTTCATTCTGCTAGGAGATGTACCTGCAGCTTGAAGCACAAAGCTGCATTTGTGTCATAAAAGTCTCACAAATTTCGCTCTGCTTGCAGCCCCTTCATGGGCCAAAGCTGAACCAGTTCTGAAGAGCCAAAGAGAAACTGCTCAGTCTGGGTTTGAGAAGTAAAAGGTCCTTAAACTCCCAAATAACCCGACTTCAAGACCCAGCACAGAAAGGTGGGGCTGTCAGACACAATTCAGACGATTTGAAAACTGAAGCTTATGAAAGATGACCAGTTTAAATGAAAATAGGCAGAACACGTCGTTCTAAAATTGGTGAAGAAATGCATCTGACATCAGAAATGCATCTGACATCAGAAATGCTGCTTCTTCCCTCCGCTTTAAAGGAGAGCAATGTTTGCCATCAGCAGCTCGGTGACAGACCAA